GAACTTGAGGGCTTCCACAAGCGCGGCGTCGACCCTGACTCATTTGCTGGCGCGACAGGCACCGAGTACAATGCTGGCGCATTCAGCAAGAACGGCATGGTCCAGGAGAACACATACAGCATCCCGGCATCTCAGGAAAAGGGCGCGTGGGGTGCCGCGCCCATGGCCGCGGGCGCCGCTGGGGTTGGTGCTGCAGCTGGCATGCGATCATATAGCGACAACCCGAATGGCCACGGCCAGCTCATGTCTCCCTTGCGTACCCAAAGCCCTGGAATGCCGCCTTCGGGTCCCCTGCCCATGGCCCCGAGCCGTAGCGCATCGCAAGGAGGTTACTCTCGCCTCGGCTCACCTGACGGCCAACAAAGCCCTCCCCCGCCGATGAGCCCGCCTTCGCATGGATACAGCGACCATGGATTCGGCGCGCAGCAAGGCTACAACAATGGCGGTTATGGAGGCGCGAATCAGGGATACTTCAACAACGGTGGCGCCCAGGGAGGTTTCCGGTAGCGCCGATACCCACTCATTTTTATTTTTCAACGTCTTATCATTCTTTCCGCCAACGCACTTGCGGCCTTCTTGTGTTTCTTTTGAGCTATCCTGCATGAATATCCGAGCGATTTCCTTTTTTATTTTCTCATCTCGAGCGGACGATACGATAGGGAGGTAAAGAAAGAAAGTCCTTGATGGGCGTTTGATATGTACATCACTGGTGCCAAGATATCCTCTAGGTGTCTCGCTCCTTGTGGGGGCTAACGAGTTTCAATAAACGATATACCCGACTATCAATTCCCTCAAAATCCGTCTCCGTTGCTTCTGGTCTAGTGAAACTTCCCCGGATTGCGATGGCGTGTGAACAGCCTCGCTGGGGACTACGAGGTAGATCGCTTCAGTGTTCTGTTCGTGAACCGGTTTGCATGAAGTTTGCTCACGTCGATGACCAGGAACGGCAGTTCTTGCCTCACAGCAGGGTGTTGGTGGAAACGTTCATGCAAGCCTCATGGAAGCGTTCAATGCCATGAGTTCTTGGCGAGGCCTGCTTGTTCATTCATTGGTCAACCTTGATTTCACTTCACAATCTTATAGGACAGATCGACTGTTCGCGGTTCAAAAGCTGCCCAAGTCATTCTTCGCGCCGATGAGAAGTTCAGGCGATCCACGTTGGAGAAGCTTAATACGCAGCAAAGTTATCGACAGGAATGTGGGGAGATTAACAACCTCTGTCTCCCAAACAAACAGTGGTTCATGCCAGAAGCACAACATCAGCGCGAGTCGCAACAGTTTGCTCAAGGTCTAGACCAATGCTAGAAGCCGAAACATTTCTGCGGGGGTGCAAAGTGTTTGGTTTGTAACTCTCAGCGCATACCAGACGAACTGAACTTTGACCAATCTTGAATCAATCGAACAGCTGTGCTGTGCTCTCCAAACTGTGAGTGTGGTTCGTGCTGACGTTTGTGCAGTCACAGTGTAGCGCATGGCTCGCGTGGAGGCTTTGGATTGACTGTGCGCCGCAGATGCAGGATATCATTCCAAACCCCAACCTTATTCCCATAAGGTTAAAGATCTCACAATGAAAACGATTCCGAACACCTCCTTTACCGAATAGTCGTACATTGAGATTACGATTTGGCATGCTGGGAAGTTTGCATGCGGAGCTCTCGGGAGTCGCAACAGATCGGGGACTATCCCGTGACGCTGATTAGAAAGACAAGTCGGGTCAACAGCTGAATAGATGCGTGTCAGACGAGGTTTACCCGTCAGGCAATTTCATACACCTTTCATTTACAGGGTTTGAACTCGATCTCACACGATGATCTGCCATTGAAGCCCTGATCAAAGACAGCCTCGAGGGTACTTGGACAGCATAAACAAAGTCGAGCTCGCCTTTTGGGGTTAGCGGGAGATGAGCAGAGTCTATCTGCCATGAACCTTCCGCCCAGGAAACACAATGGCTTAATGGGCAAGGTTTGCGGTTTCTGAGGCGTGGAATGTTTGCCGTCGCCTTTGACGAAGTCCAATCAGAGGGACGGAGCGGCACGTATCGGTTCTCCCCGGACGCCGACTATGATAGATGAAATGTTTCTTCACATTAGTTTGCACAGCAGTTGAGTCGAAAATTGGCATGGTGCAGGAAAGCTCGGGTATAGCAAGGGCCATCTCGCGGATACGGTCCAGTTGCTAATGGGATGTGTGCAAGAAGTCCCTAATGCAAGATGGTTTATCCACCTGGAGGGTGAAATAGATCTTGTGACCTCTCCATTTTGAAGACTGAACAGTCAGTGAAGCAACAACGCTAACTGATGACTGAACTATACTTGAGTATCGCTCACAGAAATGACCTGGTAGTCGGGTATGGCAGTGAGATGATCCTACCTTAATACGTGGAATAGGTCCCAGAAACTTACACCTTTGTTGCTTGAGGGCGCATTATCACCCATCCTTATTCGGAAGACCTACCGGACTGCCAAGGGTCAATCCCAAGTTGAGGATTTCCGAACTGGAATCAAGCTGCCTTGCTCAGCTTAGCTAGAAAGTTTCGACTCTTCCTAACTGTAGAGGTTGCAACCATCTTATGCTTGCACCATGCGACCACTTCCCCCCTTTACAGCTTGAATAGAGTTAGATGGCACACCATCAAGCGTAGCAAGCCAAACGTGGAGGCATGAACTTCTGGTCCATTTGCCAGGAATCCTGGACAACTTTCATGAACATGATGGTACAATCGGCATGCTGCCGTTAGACCTTTGTCTAACACATGTCATCTCTGTAGGACGCCTCTGCTCTTGATACTCCGCCAGTTCGTGAGTGACAGTCACCAAACCCACGGCGCATACTGGTTGCAGCTCATCCGATCTGTGGGAGACAACTCAGGATGCCTCGGAGCAAAGCCGATCGAGGTAGCTTGCTGAAAGCTGCACATCTTAGGTAGCTCTTTACGGATGCGTCGGAGAAATGGACATCCTTGGATGCCAGAGGGATAAACAACGTTTGAGTATGTCGACGAACTAGACCCGGTGCAATGCGAGCGTCAACAGTCCATTGATTGCTCGGCAGGCGACAATTCACGGGAAAGATGAACTACGACTGAAGTGATCCCAGACTATAAAGAACGGCACCACCCCCGTGAGATATTGCTTTCTTTTTTTTCTCTTCACCAGACAGACAAGACAACAATCAGTTCAAGCTCACGATACCCTTCCAATTATACCCACCTTTGGCTTTTGATACCAGCACTTGCGGTTCGCTTAGATCGTCAGCATGCTCTACTCAAAGCTCTTCGTTGCCGCCCTCACCGGCATCAGCTGCGTCGCGGCTATGCCCGCTGAGCAGCCTGCCGAGCTGGCCAAAGCAGAGGCGTTTCCCCGTGGAGAATGCCGCGATGAACGCGACGAACTTTACTGCGGCCGCAGTGTCAAGGAGTTTACTCGCTACGGTAAATTATTTCAACGCATCATGAGCCAGGCCTCAGTCAGCTTTGCTAATGGAGCTTGTAGATGCGAAGAACAGGCTCTGTTTCGCCAACGATGGAGGCAACAGGCTCTTCTGCGCAATTCGTGAGCAGCAGGAGCTGGCTATCGAGCTGGCTCGCGAATTTGACAGAATTACACGATGCGAGATCGATCAGTACTACGGCTACAGAGAGCGCCGCTGCGAATGCTACCGCCGACGCGATGGAGACCGTGGCGGCAGAGGCCGCGAGTGCCGTGATGGCGATCGTGATGGCGACAGACGCGGCGGCCGTGATGGTGACCGCGATGGTGACCGAGGCCGTGGTGGTCGTGATGGTGACCGTGGCCGCGATGACCACGACCCCAATTGCAAGGGCGATGACCTTGCTTTCTGCGCGGCTAGTGAGGACTTGATCATCACCTATGGTAAGTCAGACATAATTCAATGCTGGTTCAATCAGGCAAAATGATAACACTCGCACAGAGCGTGGCGCCGAGATTTGCGACAGAAACCGTGGCAACTACGTCTTCTGCGCCAACCGGGAGCGCGGTGCTGCCCGCGACAAGGCCAGAGATCACTTCCGCGACCGCAACAAGAAGCAGGCCTAGGTCTTCCTTTTATTATTGTGCCTCTCATCTAGAGCATACAGCTGGTACCAACTGAACCAACTTGGGTGTGCAGGTTGAGGAGGGTTTGCTGAGCCAAGTCGAGTCTAATGGAATGTTTAGTCTGTAATCTGTATTTCGTATAGTGGATTAATCAGTGTGGAAACGACAGAGAATGGAAAGGAATTGTTAACCCTTTAATATGGAACCGTGATGTATTTGTCTGCGCTAAGCCCGCCAATATTCGCTTTGGGAGATCTTATCAATTTCTTCAGCTTTCACATCTAAAGGCATGTCTTGCGCCGCTTGCATAAATCTTGCATCCTCATCTTAACGTGATACTGACCTTTGAAAACGGAGGATACTTGTCTACGATGAATGGACCACAAACGTTTATGAATGCCTAGGCAGGCATGGTCAATCGCTGTCTTCTGGTGGTCGACATACGCTTGCAGACGATCTACTCATTTGATTTTCTTCTTAGAGAAAGTAAATAGAAAAAATATGTTTCAGAGTCGCAGAAATGTGAGATAATTGAAGGATCAATATTTGAGCTGTAAGAAAGCACACTTCTAGTCAGTTCTTAGCCTGCTTTGTTAATTAAGTATCTTTAAGAAACAAGAGCGTTGTTGACTGCGGACCAATTGCAGTCCTTTCGTCTCGACTTTCCTTCCTAAAGTACGGCTCGACATTCCTTCCCGAGTTACAAGAGCGCGAATTATGGAGACAGTCTCGGTTGCAGGGCTACCAATGCGGGGGGTTGGGAAAGATTAACCGACGCAAATGAAGACGTTGACGAACGTCGACAAAACAGCCCGAGCAAATTTGTCCCGCTGACGGGCCAATACGACTTGTTTGGAGTCTGGCTAATAGTATTTTTCTTAGGAAATTTTCGATGAATCTGGTAAACCGAAATCCCGAGATTAGTCCAGAGACACCCCCGCAACAATGTCCAAACCCCTGGGCCGTAGCAGCGGTGGTTGTTGGACATGTCGTATTCGCCATAGGAAATGCGACGAAGCAACTCCGACTTGTAAAGAATGCACAGATCGGCACATAGTATGCCATGGCTATGGAACGGAGCCTGATTGGGTCAAGGACCCTGTCAAGCTACAGGCGGAACTTCAACGCATCAAGCATGCTGTGAAACAGAACTTCCGCCGGACTCGAAAACTGCAGGCTTCTTCCACACGTTCATCCACCAGAGCCGTAACGGAGCCTTCTGGGGAAAATCTCGAAGAGTCAGCAATATTTTCGCCAGGCGGGTCTGAGTATCGTGAAGCTGAGCTCCTGACATATTATCTGGACTACATATTTCCCCTCCAATACGCCTATTACGTGGATAAGCCAGCACTCGGTGGCCGAGGATGGCTTTTCTGGCTTCTATCCAAGCAAGGGCCGCTTCGTCAAGCCGCCTTTACGCTATCCGCTCTACACCAACACGCTATGTCGCAAAGTAAGACAGAGGAAATGGAGTCAGAGCTTATCCGGTATCACACCAATGCGATGCAAGAACTCCGTCAAGTTCTCATTCGCTGCGAGACAGATGGTTTCGCCAGCCATCCCGAACATCGCGTCGAGTTTCTTACTTGTGGCACTTTCCTCATCAGCTTCGAGGTATCCACTCTTCCAACCTTTGTTGAACCCATGGTTGCACGCTGCTAATGCTAAACTGGCTAGGTCTTCCAAGGAGGAACCACTAATTGGCAGTCACATCTGAACGCTCTTGTATTGGTCGCAGGTCAAATTGACTTGGAGAGCGTGGGAGGAAGGTCCGAATCTTCTACAAGAATTGAGACTGGATTCCAGAGGATTATGAGTGCGGCCATCAGATTCCATGTGTCACAGCTACTTTGGTTCGAGCTTCTGTCATGTGTTTCTACAGGTGAACCACCTAGGCTACCTTATCAAAGGTGGCTCAGCCACGAAGAAATCGATGTGTCCTGTGTCATGGGTTGCCAGAACTGGGCTATGCTAGCTCTCGGAGATGTAGCCTCGCTAGAGGCACAAGTTGCAGAGATGAATCCGAGAGCTTTGAGCCGCAAAATTGCAGACATCACTAAACGTCTCGAAGATGGTGTTGGATACTTGGGGGTAGAACAAAAGGTACCTAGTATACCTTCTCAATATTATGGGGTATGGAACGATACTAATTCGTCCGGTCAGCCCGATTCAGCCTTAATCTCGCAGTCGATTACCCGCATTTATGCAACGGCAGTCCTTGTGCAACTGCACACAATTTCAGCCAACATAGAAGACGCACCAGAAAACGCGCTTGAAACAATTCATAACGCAGTATCTGGCGTTATGGATGCTCTTCAAAGTGTGCCGGACGGCCTGTCTCTGAAACCTGTAACATGGGCTATGTGCGTCGCTGGAGCAATGGCAGCCCCAGATCAACAACCATTCTTCGAGAATCTGATTGAAGGAATCCTTGAAAGCTCGGGTTCCGGTTTTACAAACGTTGATACGGTGCTAAGAGTTCTGAAGGAATGCTGGAGGGAAAGAGACTACCATGGTACCGACAACAGTGTTCCTAGAAATGCAATGTCACGGCTAGGGATATGTGCCCTTTTGATTTGAGCCGTGGCCAACCTAGATTCCTGCTCCTTGCATGACTTATCGCCGTGCAGGGCTATATTTGGGCATATGAGAACACTGTAGTACGGGGGAATGAGAGTTCAACGTTTCGAATCAATTGTGAGAGATATAGAAAGACACTAGGACGTCGCCGCTGCACCCTGCACATTTTCGCGACCGAACCTGCAGCCCCTATTCACGTCCAGGCGGAACCTCTTCCTTGAACGAAGATACAATTCAGAAAGCTTGAGCTTGAGTACTACCGCCCTGGGTTCTAATCGTCAAGTACTTGAACTTTCAATGCTAGAGCACTAGGGTCTGAAGCTGTTTTGAAGGCCTTCTCACCATCTTCAAGAGCAAACCGATGGGTGACTAATGGTTTGAGATCAATGACTCCCTCAGCAACAAGGCCAATGGCCCGAGGATAGATATCTCGGTAGCGAAATTGGAACCGTAATTCAATTTCCTTGCCAGCCATGTACATGATGGGAATTGTGGCAAAATCTCTACCGCAACCGATAACGAAGACCATGCCGCCGAATCGGCAAGACTTCAGAGTTTAATCAGCACAAGTATCCCCGTCCAACGTACAATTCGTGTAAGTTAGATTACTTACGTATATACCGGTGACCACACTTGACTCAACGCCAGTACATTCTAGCACTATCTTGGCTTCTTGACCAAGAGCTCCCTTGATATCCTCGGCAGTTGCCTGCGGCTCCTTTCCAGCAGTGATAAGCACAGTTCGTACTCTAGGAACTGCCTTTTTCGCCATGTCCAGCCTGGTCTGATTGATGTCCGTAATGACGATTGGGTTTGCACCTGCTGCGCTAGCAGCCAGCAAAGTGGCAATGCCGATGGGACCGGAACCGCAGATAACCACGGGATCACCCAAGCGAACGCCGGATCGCTCGAGCCCTGTCAGAGCCACTGAGAGTGGCTCGAGAAGAGATCCCTCTTCATATGACATTCCATCAGGAATCTTGTGAAGCCAGTCTTCTGGGTGCACGTGGTAGCGGGTAAGGGTTCCGTGATACGGGGGCGTCGAGTAGAAGACCACCTCTGGACAGGCGTTGTATCGGCCTGTGCGACAGAAGAAGCACGATGCCTTCATACAAGGGATGCCGCACTCGATGGCTACCCTATCCCCAATCTTGAACTTCGTCACTTTGGGTCCTACGCCAACAACTACGCCTGCACTCTCATGGCCTAGCCCGTTTTCGCCCGTCACAACCATCTCGCCAATGTGACCTGCTTTCCAAAAGTGAACATCGGAGCCGCAGATGCCAGTTGCTCGCACGTGGATGAGGCACTCCCCTTCGCTTGGGGTCGGAACATCGAGCTTCTTGAGATACAGCTCATGTTCAGGGTTAGTATAAATTGCAAGGTTTCCGGGTTTTCGGCGAAGGATATCGACTGCATTTGATGTATCCATGGCAGGCATAAGTGGTTGATGAGTATGATTCTGATTTTGATGGCCAATACAGGCCAGGGACTCGAGATTCCGTGGGTGTCAATGAGGAAGTGAGGTGGGAACATCAACTCAGTGCGGCCAGCTTGTTATATACCGAGTACATCTGATCTCAAAAAGGTGGGCAGCTTGATTAGATGTCTATCGTTTCTGGCTGCATCACCTTCGGAATTCTTTACCCCTCCCTTACCCCCTCCGAGCTCGCTGGCCCTGTCGTTCACGTTAGATCGTCTCGTGCAGCCTCAACAAATTGCCCCAAACACATCGTCTCCTCACAAGACACCATACACGGCGCCGTCTCAAGTCACCACTACCCCACGTTCGGCGCACTGTCACCCGGTTGGGTTTCCGCCACATTGTTGATTTGGACGGAAACCCCCGCCCACTGCGACTCCCCGCACGCAGCCTATGCAAGCCTGGGGTTTTTATCTTCTCTATACTCTCTATACACATACCTCGCCCTTGATCGTAATCGACAAGCCCTCAAGAGAACTTGAGAGTAAGGATCAAGACCATCTCTCAGTCTCCCCTTCAGCTAAAAGGGTGATACGAGATATACGACCACTGGACTTCAAGTCATCGTCATGTCTCTCAATGGAAAGATCGCAATAGTGACGGGAGGGGCTCGAGGAATCGGTGCTGGCATAGTTCGAGCTCTTTCTAAACAAGGCGCAAGTGTAAGTCCTGATCTTATTGCCCGAAACAGATTACCAGGTCGATCAATCAGAGCTTCCTTACTTGGTATATCCACAACGGCCTCATCTTAACCGAGTCGACCTGTGATGAGAATATTGATGTTAACATAGTGCAGGTTGCATTCAATTATGTCTCTCCTTCATCCGAAGCTGCTGCTCTAAAGTTGGTTGAGGAAGTAAAGGGGTTCGGGGTTCGAGTGACGTGCATTCGTGCCGATATGGCGTCTCCTGAGGCTCCCTCTCTTATTTTGAAAGCGGCTCTTCGAGAATTTCAAACCGACAAGGTCGATATTCTGGTGAACAACGCGGGCGTCGGAGGAAACGCACCACTCGAAGAAGTCACAATTGAAGACTATGATCGTCTGATGGCAGTCAATGTCAGAGCAGTCATCTTTATGACTCAAAGCGTCTTACCTCACATCAACCGCGGCGGTCGTATTGTCAACTTGTCTTCGATATCTGCCCGCGGTGGCTACCCGACTCAATCCGTTTATGCCGCATCCAAAGCTGCTGTCGAAGGTCTGACACGGGTCTGGGCCACAGAGCTGGGCCACAAATACGGGGTAACTGTGAATTCAGTCAACCCTGGCCCTGTCGATACTGATATGTACCGTGCTGCCGGACCTGTGCATCTTGCGAGGATGGAAGAACAGAATAAGAAGGTTCCTGCCGAGCCCAGATGTGGAACGGAGGAGGATGTGGCAGATATCATTGTGTTCTTGTGCGAAGAAAGATCGCGCTGGGTGACCGGGGACACGATCTGTGCGAATGGAGGTATGGTATACACATAGAGAAGGATAGTCTTGAACTGTTTAGCCTTCGCGGCATTGGCGGGTCTCCCATATTGACATTGATAAGGCACATAACAATACGAAACTTCAGAAATAGAGATCTCGAGCGGGTTACCGCCTTTGGTGTCCCTTTGTGTTTCCGATTTCACTACAGAGATCCACCGGCCGACACCCCGAAATGGGCCAAAATGGACAAGTATTCGCCACGAGTGGCTAATGTAGAGATATTGCAGGAGTCGTCGCGTGGTGTTGAGGGAGCTAGGCCAAATAAAACGCAAGCCAATCGGAACTTCATCGCGAATTAAGCGTAGCAAGTATGTCTAGACCATGGTATACTTGAGTCTCTTCTTAAAAATCAAGAACTTAAAGCTAGTGTTCACAGAAGTTCCATTCGGTCTTGAGCCAATCAGCCTCCTTCTCTTTCATCCACGTTCTTTCAGCCATCAGCTCCTTCCTCAGCTCCTTGGCCTGTTCCATTCCAATGGGCCACTTATCTCTGCTAAGGCTCTGTTCCCAACTCTCTCGAGCCTTCAACCAAGCGTCTTCGGAGTCAACCCACTCTTCCTGAGCCGTTTCCCACTGAATCAATCCCTGGTCATCTGATGCTGGGGCGGGCAATGGACCAGTCTTAGGCTCAGCAGGCCACCAGTGTTTCTGCTGAGGCGGCACGTTCGACGTGCTGATGATAGGAATGGCTGGGTCGACGAGGAAAAGAGCTACAATCTTCCTATGGCCAGGCTTTGAGGGATCTGCCAGCTTGAAGGGAGAGACTTGATGTTGGAGGAGGTTAGGGAAGAACAATGCCCGGCCGCCTTTGGTCTGTACTGATCCCACATTCTGAAATGTGTGGCCACGAGGTTCGATTGCGAATGCCTGCTTGATACTCCACCAGTCGTACTGCTCATAGTCGAGCGAGGTTCGTGAGCCAGAATCGTCAAGGTCTTCTCTGTTGGCACATGTCCGGAAGTTGAGAGTGCAGTCCGTGATGTTCTCACAATCGTAGTAGTACAGTGCTGTGCTGACAATATGTTCGTTCAGAAGACCTTCAGTATGCCAAGAGCCACCTTTGTATTCAGGGTTCTCTGGCGTGAGATGGATATTGGCCAACTTGACAATGACTTGACAGCGGTCTTTGCATCCAAAGAAGCCACTGCTTCTGATGTCGGAGGCGGCGAATTTGACGTAATCTTTGGCCTCGGGGTCAGCGTCAGGAAGCGCAGGGCCATGAGTCTCTCTGAACCAGGCTTTGTCACGAGCGTTGCGTCCCAGATCCTTTCGGTTTCGTGGGACTTCTCCCTCGGCGAGAGGACGTGCCTGGGGCCTGCATGCACGGCGTCGACCGCAGATTTCCGGACAAGGGCACACTGGCTTCTGAACATTGGATGTTACGAGACGCTGAATCGCAAACTTATCCTCCCAGTTGTAGATAAGATCCCAAGCTGGCAAAGACTTCTCAATGAGCTTCTCGATGATTGGATAGAGGTGAGCCTGCTCTACAGGATGAAGGTTGTTGATGTAGCTTGCAATTTTGGCTTTTCCTGTGATTCGATCGAGGTCCACATCACATGGTAGCCATTGAAACTCCCTGCTCAACACCTTGTTTCTCGAAGTACTCCTCCAAGAAGTGGCAGGAGATAGTGTAGCCTCCGCCTTTGTCGGCTGGCGTATTGTAGTACCCATGTCGCAGTATTCAAGAGCGTCATCAACGCCGATTGTGCGATCATGAAGCACCTTAGAGCTACCGTATACCAAAGGCCAGAGGGAGGGATGGACCAAATCTAAGACTTGATCATTGCTGTTAGGGTGCCAGTCTTTGCAGTCTGAGGGGACATCCTCAAGTGGCTTGACAGCATCTTGGATACACTTGGCGAACTCGGGGGTTAGGATGCTGTCAGACTTGATGACGGCAGTGCAGTAATCGTAGACCGGCATAAGCCCTGTCTGTTCATACACTTCCGCTTTCTTCCGTAGTTCACTGATGCACTGGAGGTCGTTAGCGCTGATATACTATAATGAAGACACAAGTCACCTTACCGCATCAGCCATAGAAGGAGTGAAGTGAGCATTCTCGATATACGATGCCCAGTCGATTGTCAAAGCCTCTGATTTCCACTTTGTAGCAATACTGTCGTCTTTGACCTTGAGCCACCACTGAGGTTTATCAGACAATTCGTTAACAACCCTCATCATGCAACATTCGCGGACCAGAAGCGTGACGGCTTCCCATTCGCCCAGGAACAAAACAGGAAATCTCTCTTTCAGACTGGGCATATGTCCAAGATTAAGACCTGCCCCGGGACGTTCGACAACCAGTTGTTCCAGAGTCAATTGAAACGCATCAGTGATCGTGACTGGACTTCAGGCCTATAGAGGCTCACCTTGAATGAGCAATGGTGGTATCTCCATACCGCCTGCTTAATGAGGAGGTTGAGACACTTGAACGAGAAGGCATTGAAATCGAGCTCGGTGTTTTTTTCAATCCAATACTTCGCATCAGACACGTCGGGGTCTTTCGGGCCAGCCCAAATGTCGAAGGCTTTTTGTTGACTGTCAGTCAACTTGACACGCTCGTGCTCGTGCTTCATGAATTCCTCCTCGTCGGACGTGAGAGGCACGGGACTGCTAAAGGCTTGAGTGGCCATAGCGCAGACGGGTATGTGGAAGAATGGATCGTGTTGTAATGAAGAGGCTTGGTGAGATGTTGTTGCTGCACAGTCTATAGGTAAGGTAAAATACTTTATATATGCTTATTTCTAGGTGTTGACTACCTGTGAAGTAATAGGAACCCCTGAAATTCTGTGTGTATATCGTGAAAGACTTAGGCAGAAGTGTGGGTTCACTTCGTTAAAAAGTTTAATCCGGCAGGCAGCATGAACAGAACCCCTTGTACAAGACTTAACATCCCGAAACCCCACCGGCCATTCCAAAAATGATTGCGGCGATCAAACTAGCGATAGGCTGTTGCTGAGCATTGACTCACATGCTCCAGGTTGACAAGGATAACGTGCCGGCCACTGGATCGATAACTATACGAATAGGCAGGTCGACGTTAGCTTCCTTGGCTAAGACTAATAAAGTGAAATGTTCTCCTTTCAACGTCCCCCAGTGAAATGGATAAGGTACGTAGCATCTGTTATAACCATCACAAATGGCTCACAAAATCTATCATCATGGGGTTTCAAAGGTGTGTAAGGTGGTTTACGCTTCAAATACCGATGCCCCAACTAGCGTAAAGACGAATTACTCTGTAAATCCGAAAAATTCGGCCAGATATTGTAATTCTAAAATCTCACTATTGTCCTTCAAGCCGTCTCCGTAAGAAGATGAAAGATGTGAGTGAAAACCAAAAGAATTATTGCTCTTGGCCCTCAGCAAGAAAGTCTGCAAGCCTTTCGCTCCTGTTATCTCCGCAAAGCTTCATATCTATGTGTTATTCCGCCTTCATTCAGCATGTGTCTAGGACTTTGGTCCCGACTCAATGTTTTCCTCCACTTCGAAAAGATATAACGTAGGTTCAGGCTCGTTTCTCTTGCGCATGATATAGCGCTTAAACCACCATGGCAAGGCCTCCAATAGTTGATAAGACGCATGCCGCCTGGTAGAAACCGAGAAGACGTCATCAAGTTCTTCAAGAGAGCGTTGCTTCGTCTCTGGAAGGAACAGAAAGATGAGAATCAAGCATATAACGCCAAAGACAGAATAAAGTGTGAAGACTCCCTGGGGCTTGATGGCCTGGAGAAGTGGCGGGGATGTTTGTGCCACGACGATGGCCCAGAAGTTGTTCGTTGCGACGGCCCAAGCCATGCCAACCTCACGATGTGATAGAGGGAAAACCTCGGCCGAGTAGACAAACGCCACTGGCCCCTCTCCCGGACCATAGAATGCGGCGAAGATATAAATGAACAAGCAAATAACGCCGAGGTGTGAGGGACTACTCTGCGGAATGTAGAAGGCCATGCCTGCTGCTAGCATAGCCCAGCACATGTTCGGAAAGGTGACCAACAGCAGCGCTCTGCGGCCCCAGCGATCAATGGTCCACAAAGCCGGGATCGCGAAAAGGAACATTGCCATACCATATCCCCATGATGCCAGAAGAGCAATGGTGTTACTTGCCCCTGCTTCCACAAAGAGCGTCGAGGAGTAAAATGACATGAGATTGACTGCGGTTGTTAGTCAAGCGTTCTTGAACATTTCGGGAGTACGTTGTCCTACCTCCACAAAACTGCTGAGCAGCCATGATAATACCTGATGCTTGTGTCGCCCGACGGACCCTGGGGATGGTAAATAACTCCACGCATCTGGTGAGAAAGTTGCTGTCACCAAGCCCGTCAGCCTCCACTAATTCTTGCTCCCTTTCAAGCTGAGCGTTGACGAAGTAAAGATCCCTAGCGGCGAGTAAATTGTTGCCACGTAGTCTCAGGAGTGACTCGTAGGCTTGGATAAACCTGCGCTTCTTCAATAGCCAGCGGGGTGATTCAGGTGTAAAGTAGATTCCCAGGAGCAAAGGTACTGCGGGGATCATGGCGGAACCAAGTTGAAGTCTCCAGGCGATGTCCCCAAACCCAACCAGAGCGAGATTTGCAAGGAATCCAAGCATGATCCCAAAAGCGCTGAAAAGTTGCCACGACATGACAAGAGCTCCACGTATGTTAGGTGGTGAGTTCTCAGCCGAAAATACGGGCACAGTAACTTCTTTCAGTCCCATTCCCATGCCGAGAAGAATTCTGCAGATCAAGATCTGTGGCCAAGTCTGGCAAAGGGCTTGGCCTACGGGGCCGAGGATGCTGAAGATGGCGCCCAGGAAGATCGCACCGCGTCTTCCGAACCAGTTATTGACGGGATCAGACAGCCAACAAGCGCTATTAGTACGCACAGGGAGTCAGTGATATGTTCATTATGGAATTGGCGAAGGACTCACATGACGCAAATAGCCATATACGGCGCGCTGTTGATGGCACCAATGATCCAGGAGTTTCTTGCACATGTTCCGGCTATTATGC